GGGGGGGCGGCTTGTTTTACAACGTCGTTGCCAAGCGACGAAAACCCAACCCCGATGGCAAACACCGGGAGGGGGGCGGCTTGTTTTACAACGTCGTTGCCACGCGACGAAAACCCAACCCCGATGGCAAACACCGGACGAGAGCGGCGGTGGGGGAGAAGAAACGGCGACCGGGCCCTGCTGTAGAAGCGAGTAGCGCGGCCGAGGCAGCGCTTGTTGTGGCGAAGTATGTACCCGGCTGATGTTGTTGCGCCCTGTTTCCCTCCCTGCTGTATGCTATACGCCTTTTATGTATGTCCTTTGTATTGCCTTCGGCCTCTGTGCTGTGTTTCTTGTTTTTCATGTCCTCCCTGCCTTCTCTGCCTTGTTGGGCACCTTGATCTCCCTTTTGCTGTTGCTTTTGCTTTTATACATCTGGCTGTCTGACCATCTGCCGCCTCTTTGTTCTGTTGCCTCCATTACTCCCATGCCCTGGTGCGTAGTGCCTGGTGCTGGAACGTTACCCTTTGATTTTTCTTTGGGCGGGTGTGGGAAGCGTCTTCCTTTTCATGTTTATTTTTGTTTTGTTTTATTTTGATCGGTTTCCTAGGGCTCTTTGCTCGACCGGACGGTGCGGTGGCTGTTCTTTTGTTTCTATCATTTTGTTTTCTTTTTCCGAGTGGTTTGTACCCTATTTTTGTTTTGCTTCCCCGTGGCGTCGTATGTGCCGGGTTTTTGCGACCACGGGCTCCCCATTTTTGTGGACTATATAGAGCTAATGTGAGCAACAACAACAAACAAAAATCAAACGGCACCCCTCAACTACAATGCTAACCTCGCTTTTTTGCAGCTGGCTACCCTGGCGGGGCCCCTGGCCGGGGAAGAGCTGCACGGACTCTGCTTCCTGCTGGAGAAGGTGGAAATCACGGCGGAATGCCTCACCAGCGGCAGCAGCGGTAGTAACCCCTCAACAGCCACCGCCGTCGTACCGCCGCCGCCACCTGGAGACCCTGGAAGCCCCGCGGATGGCGGTGATTCGTCATCACCAGTGACGCCCCTCGAGGACGGAAGTGGGACCGGGGAAGGCGTAGGGGCAAGCGGGGAGGGCAGCGACGATGATGGCGCAAGCGTTGGCAAAGGAAGCGTGGAGAGCGGTGTCGCGGGGGAAAGACGGGGACCGCAGCCGGTGGGTAGCTTGTTGTGAAAGAGTAAGCGTGGGTGGAAGCTACCGCCGTTTCTGATTTGTTTCTGTCGCTTCTGCTGCTGTTGCTGCTTGCTGCCGTCGCGTGGTTTTGGGACTCTCAGCGCATTGTTGTTTGGGAGCACGTGTCAACAGTACCGTCTGCCTCCCTTTGATGGCAAAGTTTTTTTTGTCGCCGTACTGCACCCCGCGTGTGCTGCTTTCCGGCACCATGTGCATTTTATACCCCCCTTGCCAACATCCACACCCTGCCTTACCGACCCATGACCGTGGGTCAATTCTTGCGTTGTGGTCTCACATACGGTGCCCCCCGACTCGGGTACCCCCGACGTCACACTGATCGCTATTTCATACCCCCCCCCCCCTCGGTGTTTGCCATCGGGGTTGGGTTTTCGTCGCTTGGCAACGACGTTGTAAAACAAGCCAATTCACTTCGTGAACTCGGCAACCAGGTTACCGATTTTTATTTTAACTCCGTTTTTTTTTTTTTTTTGGCGGTAACCATAGTGGTGGTCGAGTAGATCATGTTGTGCGGGGTGGAGAACCCTCACTCCGCGCAAGGGGGATGATCGCACCACGTTGTGTTAAAATGGTCAAGCACCCTCGAGGCAGTTACACAGTGCTTACAACTTGTCTCTGGAAGTGAAAGCACCAGAGAATAAATTAAGTCATACGCAGCTGTCATCCGTGCGCACGAAAGTAAGCACAAGATGCCGAAAACCCTTAGCAGGATGCAGCACACCCTTCATGCG